GATCAATATACATCATATAGATGGTAGTTAAAAAGAGAAGCTTAAATATCGAGAACGTGGTGTGAAGGTACCTAAGAATAAAAAAGAAAAGATTAATAAGAGAAATAAACAAAGGAAAAGAAACGATATGTACCTGAATAATGAGGTTCATGATATAAGGGTTCGTCAGCTTGTGAATGTAGAAAATGCTAATACTAAAGATGAAAAGAAAACCTTCGAATATTATCAAAATTCAGCAGATATAGAACATGCTGATAGAGTGTATAAAGTTAGACATTATTATCAAAACAGAATTAATGGTGACCAGAAAGGTGGTGATTTGAGTGGATATTGCTGCAAAAATAGATTCAAAGTTGAAATGATGAGAATAAGATATTCGACTCTTGTTATCAATATGAAATTGCAATTAATAAGGATGAACATAAGACATTAGTTCATTACCAAAAATCTAAAGAGATAGTTCTCGTTAATGAAACATATAATCTGGGATGTGGTCACCAAAATGAGAAAGTAGATCTGAAGAAAGAAAGGAAAACAATGATCATACCTGATTTGAATAGGCAGAAAACCCTTGGTCGCGTTGGTGTAGTTGCTGATGTTGCTAAAACTGTTGGTGGTTGTAGAAGTGAAATGTTTGATTACTGGAAGGTTGCTAATAAAGATGATATCGATGTAGTGAATGTTAACAAAGGTAAAAAAAATAATGTGATGGTTAGTCTAGTGAAAAACAATAAAATGTATGAAATAAACGATGGAAAACCTGAATACTTATCTGATCTGAGTAATGAAAGGATTCAAGAAAGTAGATTTGTTGATGACTTTGATAACAAAGTCAGTGAAGATGAAATGATGGTTGTGATAGAAGCACTATTAGGTGTGGTTATGAAAATAAATATAATGATGAGAGGTTTAGTGTGCTCGTTAATGAATACTGACTATGACAGTAACAAAATAAATAAGGAAAAGAAGAACAGTAATAAAAGAAAAGTTGATAAGATTGATGGAAGAGAATGAAGCTTGCTAAAAAAAGTCATACCAATGGAACAAGCATGGTTGAATATTGTTGTAAAAATGAAACCGTTTATGTTGATGATATATATATTTTTGAATCCTGCCACTATGATAGTAATAGTATAATCAAATCTGAAAAAGTAATATATGAGTAGTATTTGAATAGTACTAAAGGTGATGCTTTAAATGAATAGTATAGTCTTGAACATAGTATTAGGACTCCAAAATATATATAGATAGGTCAGGTATGAGTTTGCTTATTTTTGAAGTTTTTTATACAGATCTTTTCTATTTATAATAATTTTTTTGCTTATTTTTAAAGTTTTTTCTGCAGATCTTTTCTTTTTTAGTAATCCTATAATTAACCTAACATATCTATGTGTATTTCGGGGTCCTGTAGTATTCCGAAGTTTAGTTCAGTTCAATTTAGATTCAGGTTTAAGTTCAATTAAACCTGAACTGAACTTTAAATTTTGCAGATCTTTGAACCTAAACCTGAACTGAACTTTAAATTTTTGAACTTGAACTAAACCTGAACTCAAAGTTTTGGTTCAGTTCAAGTTCAGTTCAAGTTCATGAATATGTTCAAGTTCAATAAATTATATAAATATTATAAGTTATCAAAATAATCTACCTTTAATAATAATAAGATTTTTTTTTTAAAAATTTCTTAAATCTAAAAATATAGTACACCTTCCCAAAACCAATCCTGTCAAAATTAATAACCTGCTATAACTGATAAAAAATTGATTCACCATGTCTGTTCCATAATTCAAACCTGATAACCTGCCATTTCTGATAACCGATATCCAAAAGATCAGATATGTATAAGATATTAGTTATACAACATTAATATCATTGCATGATCCAATATTGATATTATCATGCAATTATGATCATGATTTATGAGTCATGATTGGCTAACTGAGTTTTAATTCAGGATTGTTGTGCTTATATAATAACGACAAAAAATAACAAGAAAAAAAATCTATGATCATAAGAGTTTGCACGATAACAATAGAATATCAGATTTGACAGATAACATAAATCAATTTGATTGGCTCAGATCAGGTTTTGTATAACAGATTATATAGATAAGAAATATAATTCAGCCAATTATATTTATTTGTAATCATATGACCAGCTGTCTATTAGTATTTTAAACCCAATAACCTCCCAAAACTAATACAAAAGTTGTCTACCATGCATACCGGATTTGAGAGGGTATACTATAAGCTATTTATATAATTATTAGTAGTAGCTCTATAGTGAAGTTAAAATTTTACTAAATAAAATGATCTATCTTATTAAATGAAAGTTGTTTAAAATATATATTTTAAAAGTTTCATTCAAATCAGATAATATTTTATTAATACCTTTTGTATATTACGTTTGATAAATTTTTTAAAATTTTTTAAAAATTTATATTCGTTAAATGTAAAAATCAAAAGTCAATTAATAAAAAGTTATTTGATTTATACAATATTTTTATAATATATATATTTTAACCTTCTGAACAACTTTTACTTAATAAGGTAAATCGATTTACTTAGTAAAATTTTGACTTTACTGTATAGTAACTACTGATAATTATATAAGTAACTTATTTTTAGATCTAAGAGTTTTTATGTTTTTTCTAAAAAAAGAAAATAATTTATTATTAGAAGTGAATTATTTTTGACAATATATAATATATATATTTATATATATAATTCATTGAACTTGAACATG